TATAGCTGAAAAAGTTGTACAAATCTGATAGAAAACGTTTGATACTGAGGAAACTGAACTCCATTTGATCGGATTTCACTTTATACACCCTACACGCCTCCTCCAGTTCTGTCCCTTATACACTGTTCTGGAATTTGGTTTTGATACATGAAAGTCGCATAAGTCCATTTTCCGAAATAGTTTGCCACCAGACCCTTTTGCTGCACATTTCAATCATGAATGAGCTTAATTTAATAATTTATTGATTTCAATTCAAAGTCTCCAAATCAAATGTCCAAATCAATTTCACTTGCAGATTTTACATCGTTACCAACCTCACCGCTGTCCAATTTCTCCAATTCTTATACGATATTAAACAATTCTAGGTCATCTTGTACCTCAAAGAGATTTTGGGGGAGTTAAATCATCGTCACTTGAAAATTCCTTAGCAGTCTTTGGGTTCTTGTCAAAAAGTATTAATGGTTGACCCCCATGGTCATAACCCGACTTATCGCCTAATTTTGTCATTAATGAAGCTTTATCAACTATACGGGGTACGTCATTTAAAGAATCTAACGTAAAAGGCGAGTCTTGGTTTTGACGGCTCTATCTTATCAGCGATACTAAATATGGCATAATCTTTGTTTCAGATATGGCACCAGTGATGAGCCTTCTCTCAATTTCTGTATTAATTAAACCTTTAAACTCTTCACATGGTTTAGAATTGGTAATCTTAAAAGGTGGTGGTGTATCTGAATCGAAGTAAATGCTGTTCAAATTACATTTGAATGGACACATATAATCGAAAATATTAACCATATAAGCAATGACCTCCAAACGTCTAATTTTAAATGATCAGCATATTCACCAACCACCCTCACTAAAATGTTTATGAATTTCTCGCGCCTTATAGTTATTCGGATCCCCTATTATTATTAACCCATAACACGGTATCAAGAACACTCTACAACGACAAAATGTTATATAGCTGAAAAAAAAATGACTTAACACTACAGCCTAAATTATCAATTTTTCTTACAGTTTTTCGCCCAATGCCATATTCTTGACAATTGTAACATTTGGCGCCTCTGCTTGAGCTGCTTGATCTCTACTGACGAACTCCATCTTTTCATTTTCTGTGGCGTTGTAACTCTCGGAAGATGAGCAAAAATGTTGTTAAATGACCTTAGCTTCCTCGTTAGTTGCCAAGTATGATACTTCCCAGCTACCATCCACCTGTTACATGTACATGGATATTTGTTTGTCTCAAAAAACACATACATGTATGTGTATACCATCCACGTGTTAAGGGACAGATGCGCCATTTCCGGGGTTGAATATGTAAACAGTCTTCAGAAGTATTAGAAATATACGATCAAAAATATCTTAAAACTATGAATTTCTTTTCCTATTTCTATAGATATCTTTCTATGCATGGCAGTGTCTCAACAAAGACGACTCGTCTTTATGACTTTCAAAGATGTCTTTGATGACCACTATACAAAAAGTAAGCGAGGTGGAACTTCGATGTTTCGTATATCGAATGGGGAATGGTTCTAGATACAGGAATGCAAATTTGAATAAGCTCCTACGACGTCTAAGACTCGAATAACGATGCTAAAGTTTAAGCACTATATTTTTTTCATTTAAAATTTTGCATGTCTTCAACGTACCTCCGTATGGGAAGTAAGAGAAACGGGACTAAGATAATGTTTATTTGGAAAGAGGACATGTATAAGATACTCTGTAACAACTTTAGTTTTATTGTCGGTTATTGGTTGATCTGTTAAATCAAGTCTTTCTTTTGGTCCAGATGCCTCAGTGGTTGAAGAGGATAATCAGGACAAGGGGCCATCTTGTCTGTGTTAAGAACCTTGTTGACATCTAAAGAGAAGAGTTTCCCGTTCTAAAATATCTAACTATGATACACACTCTGTGAAAGAATTTTTTGTTGACCCTTTCTCCCACGTGATCGATGTTAAAAAATCTCGACCGGCCTGTTTCCAACTCCCTCCAACTGACCAGAAAAGCCTTAAATCACGAGGATGCAGACGATAAGAACGCTGTTCCAAAAGAGAGTAAAGGATTACACCATTGGTTGATGGAGGCCTCACTCACAGCCTCAATTTGCTTTCGAACCCCCATTCCAGCGGGAATGAACAAGACCTTCAGTCAACATCCGTATCCAACAATTTTCTGAATGTCTGTTCGATGCCTTGTCAAAAGCTTCAAACTGGTTCATGGGAACCGCTGCCCCAAATATATTAGTGCACTAGAGTAAATGATATTTGCTCGTTGTTGGGAAGCCTGACTCATCCACGTTCTTTCAAAGAGACGATGGTTGGGTCTATATTTTCTGTATCAATATGGTTTTGTCAAATAAACTAAAACGGTAAATTTCAGGGGGCTAACCACTGTCTGCTCCTTTGATAGTTACATCGGAGTGTTGAAAGGTTTCTGTATGACAGTTTCAGAAGGACAAACGGGAAATAAACACCCTTCTCCGGTAGGTTGTTTTTCAAGGGATTAATTAATGAATTTGATTTTTAGTAAGCAGTGAAGCTAATATGAAACAGTGTTAAAATGCTCATAACGTTTGGTCACTGGGCTACTTTTTGCGTGTTCAGCCAATATTGAAATGTATAAACCAAGTGAAGTAGTAATAAAAGTATAGACTGATTTTCTTTTTAATTTTTTTCTATTTTTGCTTAGGTTTTCATGCATCTGAGCATTTCGTGATTTGTATCACTCAGGTGTGTAATAGAAATATACTTTAAAGATATTATTAACTTATGAGCATGTAAGTATTAAAATTAGTACTGTTATATTTGATCAGTTAAACGAGTAAAATGTTTGTCACGAATTGTTTTAATATATGGATATATTTTGAATGGTCCGACACTAGCAGTAAGTGGTCTGTCTTGTCTCCAAGTAAATTAAATTGATTGTGAACTTATCTCTCTATTAGTGCCGTGTATAGGGTGATCAGTATGTATTTAATGTTTCAGTCCTGGATTTAAGGTATCTGCTATGGTCTGCGATGGGAAAAGTTGTGCGATGCCTTGTATTGGATAGCGACAAAATTGTGGAAAATGCAGTTCCTTTAAAATATTCAATGGAGATAATATAATGCGACAGTTATGTGATAACCGCCGATAATCTGTGATAGATCTGCTGACTATGACCTACATTGATCAAATCAATACTGCCCAGGCTATGATGGTCTTAAAGCTGAAATTTATAAAACTTTTTCCTCAATAAGTACATTGTTATTAATGCGATTAACTATATTTTCGAAAACAATATATTATCAGCCTGTCAACGTCCATCGATTATAAAATTAATACCAAGAGGGAACAAAGATAAGTTCATTCTTAATAACTGGAGGCCGATTACACTTGTTTAATTAGATTTAATTTTACTTATGATTTAAGGATACAACAGATTAAAACGCGTTTTACATAAACTTTTTGTAAATTTTAAATCTTCCTCAATTAGAGTGTGATTCTATTTTTATAATTTTGGTAAATTTTGTTTATACATTTTGATTAATATATTTGTTTTAAAGCTCTGGATTAGTGCATTAGAACTATGTTTAGAAATTCTCTAAATAAATTAGAACACTAAGGGTTCTTATAAATATTAAACTATTTTCAAAACTGCATATTTCACAGGTTAAAGACTAGTAACTTAATCAAAGACATCCATACAAAGCTTATGACTCATTGGAATAAACATCAAACTGAATGAATGTTTGAAATATTAGATCAAGCAGATTTTTCGGTAAAAGATGAAGGGCGCCGAAAGTCAGGTTTAAAAGTTATCAGCTTTTGGAATTTTGCCTGTCAGAAATTACATTGACAGGAAATTATGCAAAGAAAAGGTCGAATATCATAATCGGATTAAAGATATAGTCGTCATTTACGTTTGTTTAACATTTTTCAATATGGAGGCTATTCAGTCCCGCACCTTACCTTTTGCTTCTTTGGAGTTCACAACATTTTTAAGCTCCAACGCAATTAATTACCAGGAATGGTCTGTGTAAACAATGTGTCAACAATGTTCTTAACACCCTATAAATCATCTCATTATAATCTAGTAAGTATTATTTTTGTAAGGAATGATGAGGACATGATGTCATGTTTAGAAAGAAACCGTTATTTTTTCGGGTATATTTGAAAAAAAAAAATATTTTTCATTGATTTGTTCTCATATCTTTTAGATCTTTATGTAGAAGGGGAATATTTTTTTCCATTTTCTACCTCTCAGAATTATAATAATAAACACGTAGACTATGCCTATAGGGATATATATTCTTCAGTGGACTTACTTATTGTCATAATTATATATAAGATTTATAAGGTAAGTCCACTGATAAATATATACTCTTATTGATCACAGTTTAAATCTTTGAGGTAGAATTCCTTAAAAAAAAAATAAAATTTAAGGTCAAAAATTAAATATATAACAACAACAGTATGTTCAGGATATTTCTATCTACAATTTTGCAAATCTTTTTCAGAATATAAGCTTCAAAAATACTATATAAAGCATAAATCTTTCGTATTCAGATCCTTAAAACATTTTGAATTTGGAATATTGATAATTTTTACACCTTATTTTGTTAATTTGAGCGGTACAACTGACCTATCCTTGTTTTAAGCACATAGACAATCAGAACCACTTGTGATACAAAGACATAAATCTACAATGAAACTGGTACAAGGACATAAATCTACAATGGAACTGAGATTTGGAATACTAGTTTGTAATTGGCTACTCTGAATAAGTGAACCAATTATTTAATCTCTCACAGATTCTGGGAGTTTTATGGATGCAAACTGTGACCAAGATGTTTATAGTTTTAATCAGAAATAGAACAGAAAACTCCAATTGATTAGAAACTAATTGATTATACACTGAAAGGAACCGAATCCGATTACCTCAATAACAAAATAAACATTTTTTTTATAATTTTTGTTAGGATACAATACAATAGAGTTATTGTAATTTGTAAAAAACTACAGTATCGGGACTTCCTGTAGAGTAGCAAGCAGGGTATGTTCCTGTGTAAATATTTTACACAGATAATAACCATACATCAATTTAACACTGAAGATATGACACATTGGTAACACATAACATTTCATAGCACATTGACCATATCCTTGTACACCATACCTTATATCCGGATTGACTACTAATTCAACATTTTCTAATTGAATGTATGACGACTTGATACTGGCAAGTTGAGTCCCAAATACTCGAACCTAAAATGTTAACAAGATTTAGCTTAAATTATAATGCCTGAAATGATTATTAATGGTCTTTATTGGAGCATTTTAGAAAAATTAGTTTCATTGATGGAAACGCTATAAGTTAAAAGAAAAAAAACCGATAAAATTTGGATAATAGAGATGGAATTTACAAACTAAATATTGAGTTTAACATCCTACTTTTGTACTGCTGATGGAGATAAAGAAAATAAAAGAAATGACAAGGGGTACTTGACTTCCAGTGATACCAATAGCACCCGAGGTCTCAGTTTATTGACCCTTCCGAACTAACATTACCCTCACTCATACTGACAGGGGAGTGCACGGGTTTAAAGATCCGAAGGTAAACATTCTGACCTCGGGACTGAACCAGAACACCATGGTTTGCGTAATACGTTTCAGATAATACCGATACCTAAACGGATGTCGGATTTACATTCTTTACAGCTAAAGCAAATATAAAAACGACTATATATTTTGAAACGTACCTCACACAATGACATATACTCTCTAGCACCCGGTTGACCATTAATAATAATTCTTACATAGCGACCTTTTATTATCTGTTTACAATTATACATTACAGTCTTTCCCTTTGCTCCTAAGCCCACATGATAGTAACAAAGTTCGGCATCAGAAAATGAATCTCCTTCTTTATAGATCTCAATAGAAAAATCGTGAGCCAATTGTGGACCGACTGCAAGATAAAGAATTACAGAGGTTTACAGACACATGTCTATTATTATAACCTCCACTGTATAATCCGTTCAATGGAACATCGCCAAGTTCTAATTCGTTCTAGATCTCATTATTCAAATAACACTATATCCAATGACATCTCTAACTTTCAAAATATATGCAATAATAAGATATTTTCACTGTTAAAATAGTGCCCAATTTATCAATTGTAGAGCCATATAGAAATATTAACATATTATATATTGCTATTTCAAACTTATATTATAATATAACACAAAGGTACAAAAATCCAAAAATCTTAAGTTTTACAGATTAGAAATATTTCGAATTGTTTATCTATGCATGAAACACCTAGTTTGTAAATGTTGGAAGAAGGTGGGGTTAAAATCAATGTAATACTGACTTTCTGAGTTATAAGTTACGGCCACAGAGTAGATGAAGTAGTCTTGAAGGATATCAACTTCCCACCAAGGTAAAGAATTGTTTGGGATGACAGCCGTAATCGAACAACTTAAGCGAATGGGCAATTTTCCATCTATACCATCAATCGCTCTGGATGCAACATATCTTCGATAAGTTTTAATTTGGCTAGCTGATTTATTTTACGCCACATTTACTAAACCACAGACTGAAAGGAAAACTTGAAGAGGAGCACTAGATATATGGACATATGGACATAATATTTATAACATATAACTCAACATTTTACATGCTCATAGATTATATTATTGTTAATCTCTTGTTTTCTTGACTCCTTTCCTTACTATATACAGTTAATCCTGCTCGTGCGACTACCTTTACTTAGCAACCACCCTCAATATGCGACAATCTGATCATCTGGGTACCAAACAGGGGGAATAATGCTTCCAGTTTCAAAAAATCCAATGTGGCCGCCATCACCAAAAATCAAAAGTAAACACATATCATTATGACAGTCAGCAAAAGCGTGTCCACATCCAATTCAAATGTGTTGTTAAGCTGCCTGACTATAAGAGATCACCTCCATTAAGAGATCGTTTTGGATTATTCCCTTGAGCGCTCGATTAATACAGTTTCTGTGGACCTAACACTCCATTCATTTCATTTAAAACAATTTCTGTATATATATATATATATATATATTATTAGACCTTTTTCTCTTGATAAGATCCTATTCATTTCAGGACTATTTAAACAGTATCCAAGCTAGGGCCATAGCTTTATAAATTGAACATCTTTGAAATCAGAGAATTTTTAGAAGTTTAAAATATCAATGCCGAAAGTAATTACTGTAATTTCACTAGCCATTTGTTCAAATGACAAATGTTCAAGGTGATCACAATTTTCAGCTCAATCCAAAAACGCTTTATCAAGGAATGTTGAATAGTTGACGTCTGACCACTCCAGTCTCCTGTTTGCAATCCAATGAGCAGAAAGCACTTATGGGCTTCTTGCGCTGTTGTTGTTTTGCAACATTTAAAAGTTTAATATAAAAGAAGTTAGTCAAATTTCAAAATATTTTGACTGACTTGACAACGGTTTTTATACGCCCACATCTCTCTATGTGGACGTATATTGTCGGCACTCCAGTCCGTCCGTCGGTCCGTCCGTCCGTTCGTCCATCGGTCCGTCCGTCAACATTTGCTTTTAAACGGTCTAAAAACTAGATTTTTTGATGGAATCAAATAAAATTCGGTATGTGTATACATATTCATAAAACGAAGATCAAGTTCGAATTTGAGCTATTTTCGACCGTTAGAAGCAGAGTTATTGCCCTTGCCCCATAATCTTGAATATGGTATTAATCTCTTAGTTTTCAACCGATTTTGATGAAACTTAAAATGGATGTTATTGGACCTAAATTGAAAGGTTTGAGAAAGTTTAGTTTACTTCTGATTAAATTTAAGGCTTTTTCAATATATAGGCCTCTTACGTCAGTTTTGAGGAGTTATCGCCCTTTATCCTCTATACAGTAAGTGCTTCTATCAACATCAATTGCTCTTAAACACGGTCCGTCCGTCCGTCAACATTTGCTTGTAAACGCTCTATAAACTAGATTTTTTGATGAAATCAAATAAAATTTGGCATGTGTATACATATTCATAAAACGAAGATCAAGTTCGAATTTGACCTATTTTCGACCATTAAAAGCAGAGTTATTGCCCGTGCCCCAAAATCTTGAATATGCTATTACTCTCTTAGTTTTCAACCGATTTTGATGAAACTTAAAATGGATGTTATTGGACCTAAATCGAAAGGTTTGAGAAAGTTTAGTTTACCTCTGATTAAATTCAAGGCTTTTTCAAGATTTAGGCCTCTTACGTCAGTTTTGAGGAGTTATCGGCCTTAAACTCTATACAGTAAGTGCTTCTATCAACATCAATTGCTCGTAAACGCTCTAAAAACTAGATTTTTTGGTGGAATCAAAGGAAATTCGGTATGTGTATACATATTTATAAAACGAAGATCAAGTTCGAATTTGAGCTATTTTTGACCGTTAGAAGCAGAGTTATTGTCCTTGCCCCAAAATCTTGAATATGATATTACTCTCTTAGTTTTCAACCGATTTTGATGAAACTTAAAATGGATGTTTCGTTTTTATCATCCGCATGCCGTGAAGGGCGTATATGGCTGTGGTCCACTATTGTTAAAAATAGCGATGGTCCATCGTAATACGCCCACAGTTGTAATGGCAGCCACGTCATCAAGGAGGTTGACAAGAGCTATCAATAAATGAAATATTTCAGGAGTAAAATTTTCATACTGCACATGCTTTATTCAATTTTTATGTTTTCTTTTTTATTTTTTAACATGTATCGTCTAAATCAGTCCAGTGTTTTGTCTTCTGGAGTTTTAAAGATTGAACACAGTTTAAAGAACAATGGCAATTCTGCTTTTCAATAACCAAGTTTCTTTAAAATCTGTTGAGAATTGTGCCTGGAATCTGATCTGGGCAATAACTCATATTAAATACTTTTTATAGGGGGTACATCATTGGGGAATAATTAACAATTCACCACATTTCGTCTAAATCTGTCAAGAATTGTGCCTGCTGGACCTTGACCATAGAAATTGAACGAGTTGTCAAGAACAAGGGCAACAACTCATGTAAAATATTTTTAAATTTGTCTGATTTTCAATAGGGTTTTCAATTGGCAATAAAATCCATTGACACCAAAATTTTTATCAAAATCCGCCAAGAAACCAACTCGCTATTGTGAACACATTAAAAATTGAACGGGTTGTCAAGAACACATTAATGTGTGGGTGTATAACAATGTTGTCAATTCCACATCCCTTCAAAGAGTCTGTATAGTCACTTTTAATTGTTCCGTATATTTATTTATATATATATATAAGATCATTGTCTTGTTCCCAATACAAATTGGAATTCTTACTTAGTCCATTGGTCTTTGGACTCAAGGACTGCAATGTAACAAGTCGACAGCAAAATCCAATTTGCTAGAAATCTGAAATCCTTTATGCCACAAGCGGTTTGGTTGGTCAAATAATTTCATTGTTATCTTATCTAAAGAGTGCTAAAGAGCTACACCACTGCTTAAAATGATCAACAGAATAATGTACTTACAGCATACATCTAGCAACAGGCATACCAAATACAAGCAGTTCCATATGAACATCTTATCTCAACACTTACTGACGATAGAATGAAAGATTATTTATACTTGTCACTGACGAAGAGGTGCGTGCCAGGGAATGTAACATAGGTTAGCTTTTTTTGGTTTTGGATCAATATTAATGTGGTATTGTTCTTTTTATCAACTCAAGGTTTCTGTGGGATGAAAACCTTCCAGGTACGTGCGATTGCGTGTTTGGTGTGTTCCTTTTGGACCTACCTCTCCGACTTTATTATTTAATTGAATTATTTAATATTATGATATTAATGAATTATGCATATTTCTGTACTAGGCCCTGTTTTATGGGGATTTTTCCACACCCCTAAAGCCGTGCGGGTGTTGTAGACCTATGTCTTAAAATCGGATCTGTCAAACCCATATATATTCGGAAAGAAGAATATTTATGTGGTCATACCATCTTAATCCCCCTACACAATTTACATCATGTCTGCGATAGCATCAAAGTTTGTTTAGTTTTCTTGACTAAAAACTGATCCCTCGTGGGTCATTCAATCCTGCGTGCACAACCAAAAGTCCAAGTGTCCACAGAGTCTCGTGATACAAGTAAAACGAAAGTTACTGTATTGATCAACACTAATTCAAAGTCACCATGATTAAATATTATGTTAGAAAAAAAACTCTTGTTTCGGACTACATGTTTATATGCCATTATTATCAAATTGTAAACCCTCGCCAATTGTATTCACAGTTTAAACAATGATAAGTCTACGATAAAGAAACATCAATAGTCAACTCGGTAAGCCTAAGTCTCAGTGGGAATTTAGGAATCTGCGGTGGAAAGAAATGTGGACAAGTTTTGCGATGCCTGGTTAATTGATAGCAATAAAATTGTAGAAACAAGTATCTTATGATTTTTAGCATTGGGTAGTGACGGGTGTCGCGCGCGAAGCAGACCATGCTTACTTTTTTCGAAACATCTGATGGTACTTTTCTTTGAAAGTATCCACTACTACACAATTTCTACTCTCGATTTTGTCATACTTTGGACGAGAGTTTGATTCTCACACCAACAAATTACATCAGTCACAAAAATAACTCCCACATGTCGCCGATTTTGATTTTGACATGGTAGGTATGCAGAAATACACTCTACAACAAAAATATTGATAATGAAATATAAACAAGGAATCAAATACACAGTCTAATTATACCAAAACTATACTTTAACTAAACTATACCATTATCATTTTAAGCCTCTTTTTTTATAATATTAGGTTTAAACAACCAAACAACTAGAACAACGTGTGGTAGTGAGTGGGACTTTCATAATGTGCCAATTTTTCTAGTGAATCATGAAAACTCAACCCACTAAGCCAATTAGGTCACGGGCAAGGGCAGTCTAAAGTTGCAAAATGTTCTATCTTTGGTTCAATTTAAAATCATAAGAGAACATAATTTATGTAGTCTTTCTGATCTGATCAAAAATCAGAAGAATAGTGGGATATCAAGTATATTTGATGACACTTCATACAACATACAGTCTTGACAATTTATTGGAAAGGAGTTATGTCCCTTAAACGCGGGAATCTGTTGACTTGGGCAAGTTCTGTTAACTTTTAAACAATGTTAACTTTAAAAAAAGTCTATTGCCATTTTTGACTTAAAGAATTTAGTGAATTATTCTTAACACTTGTTATTGGTTTCGATTGTGATATTGATTTGTCTTCTATTGATCTTGCCGCGGCTGAAATAACAAAATTCCGCGATCAAGCACCAATCTCGTTGACATAAAGTCCTCTACAATAGTGGAAAGACTAGGCGTAGAAATATCTAATTCTTTCTCATCTTTCAAAGATCTATTTGTGTGTTCCAGCAACTTAATTTCCTCAGAACGCGTTTTCAGCACTACTTGAGTCATTGTCTCATGTCAAAGATTTTGTCTAAAACCGTCCAATGGGGAAAGATCAAGCTTTTTGAAAAAGGACATCGAACATAAATCAAATTAACATTGTTACAATAATTTAATGTTTGCGCTTAAAAATTATTATTCCTAATTCTACCGATATAGAAACCATTTCGTCAACTCGCCAGCACATTCAGCTTTTATTTTGTCATAAACAACTGCACAAAGCTTGTCAGCAATATCCTTACAAGAAGGTGCACTATACGCAGATCTCAATTTGTTTATCATTCTTGTAAACTGTGGATGTTCAACCAGTCTGAAAAGGGAGTAAGTGGCAAATGTCATACTGGTGACTTCTTCATCAAGATATCTTCTGCAGTTGTCTTCACAACAAATCTTAAAGTGGGTAAACTTGT